TGGTTGTATTTGGAGCACATATGCTCGAACCTGGTCAAGACAAACATCAAACCCATATAAAAAAGTATAAACTCTATCCTCCTGCAAAATTAAGTTATATTTCTATATATCAGTATCACATTTCATATGATTTGGTTAGCGAAAATTGATTTCTCTCCATAACCCTTGTAAATTGTTGTATTATGTCTCGATAGATCCTCTTTTTTATTTGAGTCTGATTACACTTTTTTGAGATCATGTACTTGTGATGTATTAGTGTCATCAAAGTACGTTATAGTAATATTATTTCAAACAGCTTTAGATGTTAGAAATCTAATAAAGTTACTCACTAACCTTGGATCTATATAGTTGATTAGATGGCCTTCACTAGTACGTTTTAAGTTCTCCATTTGTTGAATGTAAGATTTGTTTGTGGAGGCTCTGTAAGTTCTTCATTTATGTATCCCAATTTGTCTTTACCTGAAATTTTACATCTCGACAATTTGGGACCATGGTGCATAATTGGTGTCAATTAGCTTGATTCCAATATATGTTGTAGATTCATAACTTAGACTTGGTTCTGCATTTGATTAACGTTTAGTGCTTGTGTCATTCTTGTTATAAGTTTTGCAAGAATTAAATTCTCCCCTTCATGTTTTTGCATCTGGGAGATTGTTGTTTTCATTTTTCCTTAAAAATTCTATGACCAAAATCTTTGCTTGGATGCCATGTTGAAAAGAGAAGAAAAATGGACAAAAATATTTTTTTCTTATGTCAGAGATGCAACAGAGTATGACTATATATAATCTGTATATGAATATAATTTGTGATTTCTATAATTATTAGGTCAGTAATTATTTTATAATTCCTATAATTATTAGGTCAGTAATTATTTCATAATTCTTATAATTACTCCCTCACAGCTCCCATCAATGTATGCATTATCCATACCTGTTCGTACTTGCGATGGATAATTTTTTTTTTTTTTTTTTTATAATACCCGACCCGCTCTATTCTTTTTATTATTTATCCATTTATCTGTTTTTAATAAAATAAGTATGAGTGGGTTATTTTATTATACTTTTTTATCACACACACACACACACACGCTGTTAAGGGAAAACTAAACTAAATTTAGTTGTTGTAAAAACTTCATTCTCTTTTTACCAGTTGGGTAAAATATAGATTTCAATCATCAAACGGCAACCACAAAACTCCAAAAACAAAAAAAAAGAAAAAGTTCAGGCAGAAGGAGAAGAAAGAAAGATATGTCACAGTAGATGAGAGCCAACAAAAATATTTTCTGAAATGTGTCATCACCCACCAAATCGACAATCCTCCATGCAAACCTCTGTGCTTACACATGTCACCGTTTTCCCACCTGTCCATCTCTCCATTCTTTTAAATCCCACCTCTCTCTCTCTCTCTCTTTGACCAGTCATAAACATCTAATCAAACCAAATCCTCCATGGCCGAACCGCGTCAAGTACAACGTCCTAGAGAAGAGCAAGGCATCAAAGGCCTTTTACCCGAGAAGCGTCCTTCTACGTCGCAGGTTCTTGCGGTGGTTACCCTTCTTCCCGTCGGCGGTACTCTTCTTCTCCTCGCCGGTATCACCCTCACCGGCACCCTCATCGGCCTCGCTGTCGCCACGCCGCTCTTCATCATTTTCAGTCCTGTTTTGGTGCCCGCGGCAATCGTCATAGGGTTGGCCATTACGGGGTTTCTCACCTCGGGAGCCTTCGGGATCACGGCGCTGTCATCGCTGTCGTGGATAGTGAATTACGTCCGTCGAATGCGAGATCCGCAGTGGATGGAGCAGGCAAAGCGACGAGCGCAGGAGGCAACAAGACAGGCGGGGCAGAAAACAAAGGAGATGGGTCAAACGGTGGAGAGCAAGGCCCAGGAAGGAGGGTAGACCCAGACCTAAAAACTTGAGCCATGGGGTTTATGGGCCGTTTTAGGTTGGGTTTATAAATGCTAGTTTATAGATTTCGTCGTCTTCTTTCCTTTTCTAAAGGCGTGCATGTATAAAGTTTGAAATTTTAATCGTATTTATATGCTGCATTGTGTTCCAGTGTATCTTGGCTCCTGGTTTTTCCTCCTGTAATTTATTTATTTATATATCTCCCAGGTGGATTTTCTCTATCTTTAAGTTGTTTTCTTAAGAGAAGAGATTGTGGTTTTCTTAATATTTTGATTTTAAATATATAATTTCCATTTTGTATAAAAAAAAATTACAACTGGGTACTAACTATTCAACATAACATAATCCAGAGGCAGTTGATTGAAGAAACAAAACAAAATTGATGCACATGCTTGAAAGAAACAGCTCTAATAATGGTTTTTGGACGAGGAACTCAAAGGAAGAAGAAAAGTAATTAAAGAGATCGAATCGATCATAACCAGGTCTATGCTATTGGCGGGGGTGGAAAACATGCAGCTATTGATGGCCATTTATTCATGGCGGGTGGTGGTGGACATCGTATACTCGGCCTTAACTTCCTCGAGGGCCGCCTACAAATAGCAAGCTTTCCACATTCAAGATTACCTTCATTCCATGGGAAACTCTTCCTCGATCTAATCCCAGAATCAACACCATGCTCACCACCTTTCAGTCATAGAAACAAGAACATTAAAAAAGTAGGAATTCTGAGACGGAGGTACTCAAGTTTACACAGATTAACAGAGAAAACAGACATGAGAATAGATCGTTACCCTTTACAAGCAAAGTAGAATTCACATGAAAATCACCCGTGAGAAACAATACAGCCAGTACTGTTGTCACCAATTTTGCCAGAAAAACATTCAGGAAGCAAGAAGCAATTCTTTGTTTTAAAACTAGTTACACTATCTGCATCTGTATCTATAGGTACTCTATTTCTTGTTCCACTTGAATATAAACAGTTGGACTAAATTCTCAAATGGAGAGGTTACTGATTACTCTACTTATGTCTTACGTAGCTTACAGATTAATCACACCAGAGGAGCTTCCACGCCAGGGAACAGTCTTGCAAAGATAAAAACCTGGAAAGAAAAGTAGTAAAACGGTTTGAGAAATATCAAGACAATTCTGCCAATTTGCGCAATATCAAGTGGGCTCAACAGGATGAACTTTGGGTTGAAAAAGAATCCAAACAAACAATTCCAAACGTCATGAGCCCGTGTCTTAGCCTGTTAAAGATAAAGTCGACGAATGTTCTGGGATGAAGTAATGAATATTAAAGCTATCAAATTAAAAATTCGACGATCATAATTGTATAGCTGGAATCTATTCTTGAATTCTGCAAGTTGCCGGAAGTTTAGATGAACTGTGAGTTATGGCTTCTTATTAAAATTGAGTTTTGGCTTTTAGTAGAGTTTTCTACCAGGAAGCAGCCAATAACCAATCCTGGTTTCAGGAGCAGTTTAAAATTCAAGAAAACATTGCAATGCTGGAACCTAAATTTGCCCTTTAAAATTATGCTCATACATATAGACACGCAACATGATCAAAGAAAAAAATAAATAGATGTAATATAGATAGAATACAAATAGAAAAGCTTAAGAGCTCATGGACCCAGGTAAAGCTTAAACCATCATATAAACACTTCATAAGTGAAGACCTCGATCCAAAAAGGCCTCACTTTTAGTTCAAAACAACTTGTTTGTTAATTGGATCATTCCCATTTCTACAACAACACAAAATTGATCCAATTTTCAAAAATCCAAAAAGCTTATGCAGCATTTTAATAGTGGTAAAGCACTTATAACAGACCCATATCCTCTTCATTGGAAACCCCTTATATCCTCTTCAACACCCCACCCAAGTCAAGGACCCAGGTCAAGCTTAAACCATCATCAAATAAACACTTCATTAGTGAAGGCCTCGATCCAAAAAGGCCCATTTTTGGTTCACAACAACTGGTGGATTAACCGAGTCATTCCCACTTCTCACATCAGCACAAATTGATCAAATTTTCACAAATCCAAAAGGCTTGTGCAGAATCTTAATAATGGTAAAGCACCTTAGCAGACCCAGTACATAGCGGGTTCATCTATTATAAGTTTCCACCGTCCCTTCACCCCATTACCACCTATTTCCACACCCTTTCAATGATCTTTCAGGACAAACTAGAAGATAAAGGAAATGGGCTGTAAAAGAAGATAAACAACTCCGTCAAAGAAACAGACTAGTGATTTCATCTACGCATAAATACTAACATGAATAAAGCATAAATTACACCGCTTATCAACCCTTCTTACTTCCAATACAAACGTGAAACAGAGGATAGCATACCTCAGTAATAGCCAGCCGGCGTCCACATATTAACATAAAACCTCAATGAACGTGGCAAGGCCTCTTTCCACGCATCAACATCAGGCAATTCACCCGTAAGAGCAACAGAACTATCATCCTTTCCAACATTTAAAACATAAAGGTTCTCGCCAAGAACTCGACCAATTGCTTTCAGCGTTTCCTCCATAACCATCTTGCCATCTCTCCGTGAATTCTCCGCCTCTACACAACTCCCTCCAACATTCATCATTATTCTCCCTCCTTTTCTCAGACGCTTTGTCAATTCCACCCAAGTGTTCGGATCCTGGAGCTCCGGTATCAGACTCCCTTTGCTAAACAGATCAACCAAAATCCCGGAAAACCCACCTTTAACTTCAGCACCAAGTGCGTTATCAATGTAGATAAAAAGCCTATCTGGGTATTGTTTCTCAAGCTTCGAAAGACCAAAATACTCTCTCCCCGCTTCAATGACAGATGGATCGAGCTCCCATCCATGGATAACAACTTCTGGGTAAAGTTCTAGTATCAATCGAGCAGCAGAGCCCGCGCCAAACCCGAGAATACCCACTGGTCCGGGAGGCAAAATGGGAGGCAGAGTAGCGAAAACGTCGAAATAGGTGTCAGTGAGCGACTTGAAGGGGAATGAAATGCTGTGGATGTTACCAGGACCGTCAAGGAGGAGAAGCCTGGAGCCAGCAAAAGGATGATCGGCCTTTCTAGAAACGTCGAGAACTCGAATATAGTTGTGCCTGGACTTAAATTTGGCGATTGTCTTGACGTCCTCGATGGGTATGCCATCGTCTTCGAAGGTACTGGATGGGTGGGGGGAGTGGCGGGATGGTTGAGATTTGGGTGGCAAGAGGTGGATATGGATTGAATTTGGGGGTGATTTTGGTGAGAATCTGAAGTGGGGTGAAATGGAGTGGAATGAATGGCGGGAAATTCGAATCGGGAATAGAGTAAACGGTGGAATTTGCAGGGAGATTAGGCAGGGTGACATTGCTGTTCTTGCAAGTTCACCTGCGGGAGTTTGAGAGGAACTTGGTCAGCTTGGCTTTGAAACAGAGAACTTTTTTTTTTTTTTTTACTGCGGTATAAAAATAATTTAGGTGTAAAAACCTGATAAAATTGTAATAGAAAATATACGAGTGGACCAAAAGTTGGTGTTTCGGGAGAAAATCTTAATATTGTCAATGTTGTAAATAAATAAATAGATATCTCATTGTAATTTTTTTTTATAAATAAACTACTAAAAAAATATTGCATTTTAATTCAATTATTTATAATTAATTCTTAATTTTGGCTTTTTATTAAATTTCATTAATACGGCTAATATTTTGGAAGTCAAATTACACAAATAAAAATAAACACATCTACCAACAAAAACTCAAACACATTCTTTTGAAATATTCTAGGGAGACTTGGATGGATTATTTATTTATATTGTACATAATTTATTTTATAAATAAACATTCAATTTTTAATTATAATTTTGAGATAATAAAATTATAAAATTATTTTCAACTAATGAGATATTTTTTACTTTCTTACTAAGTAAGGAATTGGATCAAAGTAATCATTCAAGTTTGAGATAATGATAATACTCGTGGTATTATTCTAATTCTTTTAATTTTTTAATTATCTTAATTTTTATCATTTTATTGATATCGGTGACTTTACTATGATTTAAATTTTTTATGCTTTATGAGTATTGTTTGAATTTTGAATCGTAACGTGAATCTCGAATCTCACATCACACTCTCTTATTCTATTTACTCATATACAATGGATAAATTTTTTTTTTACATTTTGACATCAATATAAAATTTATTCTTGTACTAGGTCAAAATTGGACCTTCAACTTCTACTTTGTGGATGAGTTTTGAATAAAGGAGGGTTTATCATTCTCCATTAAACATTAGAACTCTCATCTTCACTTTTAAAATTATTTAAAATTTCAATTTTTTTTTTTTTTTTAATCAAACCTTGTCCTTCACATAATAAAAATAAAAAATAAAATAAAATAAAAAATAAATTCCAAAAAAACAACATGAATCAGAAATCAATAACCAAAATGTTTTGTAGCACATGGCCAATGCTCAGAAATGATATGAATCAAGTGCTCCTACAAAACCAACTGTAATTTCGTATTTAAGTTTCTTCTTCTACACACTGTGAGCCTCTTGTATTGATAGCCTTTTCCTGGCTCTGTATTTTAACTTAAACATATTTGTCAGTTCAAGCAAAAGGGAGGGGCAATCAACTGGTACAATGGTAGGTAACATTTCAACCAAAAAAAAAAAAAAAAAATCACCTAATTGGCTTCACATATAAGCTCTGAGACTAAGTATGACCTCTGATACAAATGTCAGGGACAACACAAGTCTCTGACAACAAAGCAAGTGGATCGATGTCAAGACGGTGGCTTTGGTTCTGCCTTCTCTTCTTTCACTTCATATGCAGCATCTCTGTAAAACATGTGTTAACCTTTCTTCAGATCTAACATAAAATACAATCCATCATCATCTCCTCCAGTTAAAAATAGCAATCGCCAGTAGCAAAAAAGCTTAATTTGTTGGCTAAAAACCCATGTTTACAGTTAGAGGTTATTGATTCAAGTACCTAACCCTAACTGATGTAGAATAAGATCTTAATTTTAGAAATAAATTTTACATGGAGGTCGTTTTTCATTGTTATTATTATTTAGAATCTCTGATTTTTTTTAAAAAAAAAAACCTAGTTTGTTAGATTATTTAGATAAATTTAAGTTATAGAAGCTTCAAATCTCCTCCTCTTTAAATGTTTAATATTTTTCTTTTTAGTTTTGTATTAATTAATGTTATTTTCAGTCCAACGGATCCCATTTAATCTTTCTTACATTTATGCATCTTGATCTCCCAATTTCCACTGCACTATCTTTCACTTAAATTTCCCAAGGACAAGTTAGTTTTGCTGCTGCTTAACTACGTATCACCTAACCACATCCTGTCCTCAAAACTTCTCTCTAAAAAGTAGCAGCAGTAACCAAATTAAAATTCCGTAATCAATCAATGAATCTTCAGCTACCAATCTTCCACGAATCCATATTCTTATCTCTCTCAGGTCAAAGTGCTCTTTGTAACAGTATTCTTTTCCTTTTTTCATCCAGCTCTCACCCAACTGACCGTCAAGCACATGGTGCAATTTTCATTTTATCTACAAACCAAGCAATCACTGAACCAGTAGCAGGGAAGTCAGAACAAAAAAAAATCACCATATCTTGGCAAATTTTACTTAAGCCACACTCTAGGAATTGCTTATGGTCATCCTCCCCTCCCCCCCACCCGCGGAAAACCTCAAACTCAAGTCAACTTCATTAGGAAATATCTCTAGAGAAAGTGTGTAAGCATTTTCATCCATCCAAAAATCAGAATCAGGTGCACAACCATTTTGATCTAACTGGACCATACTGAACTTGGCCTACCCAGAAAAAGTAATTCAATAAGGTTTCTTTCATTTACTGGCATATGAAACATAAGAATCACCTCATCTCAACATCTTGCACAAGTCGACCATCAGAATTTGAGAAAATATGACGCGGCTTCTCATCATCATCAGGATCTGACTCGTAATCTTCACCATTCCAAATGCGTGGTTTTGGCCTTTGATCCATGTTCTCCTCCACCTACATGCAAACAAACAGTGTTGTAGTGAGAACACAGCAGGAGAGAAATTATCAAAAGCTAACATTGAAAAACAGCAGAAGACTTTCTTTTCTCAGAAGAAAAATAATTGAGTTGCTCACAACCTTTTCTGGCACTTGAGTAGTTGGTGGGGTAGTCTGGAAAGGTACACTAGGAGCATGAGATATTCTTGAAAGTTGCTCTAGTAACATATTCCTGAAAATATTTGATTGTCAGACTTTTCTTTCTATGAGAAGAGTATACAAAAAGAATCAGAGTTAGACATAGTAACTTCAACCAGCAATACAAATGAGTGATCAGGGAGAAAGGACAGAAAAAAAAAAAAAAAAAAAAAAAGATGAAAAAGATGAACAAATCCGTAAGAAAAGAAGCAGATTTAGTTAACTGTTGCCGAATTCCAAGTAACACAATTATGCCTTAGTTTATATCTCAAGGGTAAATTACTTAGGGGATTAAGGACTTGGTAAAATTGCAAGCTTGGCCTTGACCTACAGAGAAGAAAAAGAAGATTTTCATATAATTAAGTAATAGTGTTTTAAACTATTCACCTTATCTTTTCCATATCTTTGGGTGAGTTCAGATTCTCCATGTTACATGGTTCAACATGAAGGGTATAATCCGGGCCAAAATATTCATAATACTCATTATAAGGCAATTTGTTATCAGGTTCCACCCCAACTGCAACCGCTGTCTGGCAAAGGAACAGAAGGAAATCAGAAGAACAATATTTTATCAGTACTAAAAATGTTAAGGGGCTTTGCTGGAAAAAAGAAGAGAGGAAGAAAGAAAAAGTGACCTCATAGCACCAGCAACGGGCGACATTCCGAATAGTATAACCTCCCCCACCTAGCACCATCAGAGGAACATTGTAAGACCTAAGAAATCGAAGGCAATCTGCATGGCCCTTCACAGACAAGTTGAAGCATCCTAACCGGTCACCAGATAATGAATCCGCTCCACACTGGAGAACAACTGCATCTGGCTGATACACCTCCATTACTTTTTGGATGATGGGTCTAAACAGACCTTTAAAACTTTCATCATCCATCCCATCATTTAGAGGGACATTAAGAGCATAATATTTCCCATTTCCTACTCCGACATCCCTAATGTGCCCAGTCCCTGGAAAGAAATCTCCAAATTTATGAAAAGACACAGTCATGACTCTGTCTGTCGTATAAAATGCCTCCTCCACACCATCTCCATGGTGAACATCGATATCTACATAGAGCACACGCTGCCAGAACAATTCAAAAAAATTAGTGAGAAAATATATCTATTATATTTGACCCAACAGATTCAATTCAAAGCACCAATTTGAAAAATGGACAGGAGAATGGAAGACTGGAGTTCCAACTAAATGCACCATACCATCTTAAGAGAAACCCAGGATGCAAAATCCAAATTGAAGTGATCAAACCAAAATAGGTGGCATATATTGAACACAATATTGAATTTACAATTTTCTATTATTTCAGCTCCCTTTTTTTAAGAAAGTCTAATACAATTCTTAGCTGGCATAATCTATTTCCATTTAGACGTAGAAAATCGATTGTCTGCAATCTTGACAATTAACCAAATATATACTCTGAAATAAACTACGCAAAAGAAAACAAGAATAGCCAAGAAACAAAAAGCATTCTCAAAATCTTAAAAAAGAAAAAAAAAAACATTTCAAAATAATAGAAGAACATCATAACATGTTTAGTCACTTCTAAACTACAATGCTTATGCAACAAAACTAACTCCAGATTCCTGAACATAACAAATTTATTAGTAAAGATTCCTAACTGACTGTTATCATAATATTAGAAACGAGATTAAGTGGTTTTTAAGAAAAAAAAGCAAAACCATTACCCTGTGAACCTTGAGCAACTCAAGAATGCCAAGCACAATGTCATTAACATAGCAGAAACCAGAAGCCTCGCTCTTCTTAGCATGGTGGAGACCGCCGGCCCAGTTGATGGCTATATCGGCATCGGACCGGTTGAGCTTGACGGCGGCACCGATAGAACCACCAGCAGAGGCCTGACAAAAGGGGAAGAGGCCGTCGAAGACGGGGCAGTCCTCGCGACGTTGAAGCGCTTCAGGTGGCGAGAGTAGGCAGGGTCACCGAGAGACTCCGGTGAGACGGAGGCGAGGAATTCGACGTAATCATCGCTGTGGAATCTCCGTATGTCAGCGAGCCCGGCGGGGAAGGGTCGATTGATCTCCATCCGACGGTGAAGGCCGTAGTGAACAATAATGTTGTGGGCCATCCGGATCCGATGGGGCTTCATCGGGTGACTCTGGCCGTAGTAGTAGTCCCCGATGGTCGGTTCGTAGAAGTAGCTAACCCGGCGCTTCTTACCATCGGGTCCAGAGGCCAGCGACGCGCCTCCCATCGCGTCCGCCATGAGGTACTGCAAACACTCCGACTCCAAAGTCCTAACCTTCTCTATGTGCGGCTCGACGGTGGAGTTACTCTCCGGGGAAAGAGAGGAACAGAGACAAGAGAGAAGTTTTAATTGTAGACAACCCAGTTATAGCTTATAAGTGCTTTTGGGCCTGTCAGCTTAAGGCCCATTAATCCAGATATAGCTTATAAGTGCTTGTGGGGCATCAACCCAGTTACCCATTTCGATCAAAATGCCCAACATATTTTAATATAAGTGGAGTTTTCAAGTTTACTTAAAATCATGTGTCACGAATTCAATATTTTAATAAAATTTATTTGCAAACTCATATCTAGTTTAATTATAAGATAAAAAAAAATAATAGTCATATTGAAATCTTTTATAAAATTAAAATAATGTTATCTAAAATTTTATTAATTTTGGAGTTGGGAATATGTTGTTCTGATTTTACATAAAAGATTATATAAAAGTAACTTTTATAAGTTAATAAAAATCAACATCTAGTTAAACTAATTTCTGAAGTAACTAAATCTCTAAAATAATTCTTAACTTAGTTTTACAATAATTAAATATAGTCAACTCTAAAAATAAAATAATACTACATTATTTAATTAGTACTAAACAGAATATATCACTTTTTAGATTATGTAGTAATAAGTAAAATATTATATTAAAAAATTATGAAATTATAAAAACGAAAATTCTTTACGTATAAGATAAAGTTGAGAGATTTTTATAGTTTTAAAAACATATTGCTCGTTATTTTAAGTGTATTTTTTACAAAAAAATCTTTATAAAATAATACTTCTTATAAATTCGATTATATTTGACCACATCATTACTATTATTTTTTGATAATGAAAAATCTCCACATATAATCACAATACAAAGTGCACATATTAATTAGTAAAGAAAAAAACTCTGAAAGAAAAATAATGAATGACTTATGTTATTGCAACATGGTACAGGGGGAGAAATATTACCACCTAGTTAAGGTGATTAAAGAGAGAACTCGAGGGATATAATACATGATGTCAATCGATAGAGTTCAACAAGTCACTGAAAATATCTTATCCACTAGACAATGAGGTGAATATTGATGATATTTCTCACAACATGTTTTCAATAATAATAAACCCATGGAGGAATAAGATATAGCTATTAACGAAAGAAAGTTTGCAAAACTTAAGAACTATCACATATGTAAGCAAAGAGCAAATACAATAATAATAAAGAAGAAAAAAAATCTATAAGTAAACAAAATTAGGTGGACATGAATGAAGACTTGTTTAAAGCACTGGAAGTCGTTCCCAAGGCTGAACTGTAAGTTAATGCATGCAATAAGGTAGGCAATTTTGTTTCATTGACACTTAATTAAATAATATGTTCAAGTACATCAAAATTAAATTTATGATTAAGTCTTGTTAAAATTTAAATATGTATTTAATAATTTAATCTCAAAGTTAAAGCAATCATGTAGAAAATAAAACCTAATAAGTCAGGATCTAAGAAACATACCTTATACTCTTCACGATCTCTCAAGTTCCAATTTTAATCATAAGCTCCTACGCTTATTGAATCACAAGCTTGAGGTAAGAAATTTTATCTTAACCTAAAGAAAAAGGAAATAACCTTAGAGAGAAAAAAATTTCTTTTTTCCTATAAATTTTAGATGTGTTTAGTTATGAGAGAAGAAATCTTAAAAAATTATTTCAATCTCATGATTTATCTCACCATGGTCGAATCCTCTCATGCATAAAGTATAGAAATTTATTTATTTTTTAAGAAAAGAACCTAATGTAAGAATCTTTATAATATATGACAAAAACTTTTATTGGAATAAAAATACTTTTCAAATCCGTAGACCTGTGAAAAAAAATTAAACAAACAATCTCCTACTGAATTAATGAGCAATGCAAGCAGAAGCGTATATGGATCCATTGCGGAAGAATTATTTGCGTCCGACAGTAGAATCTTTCGAATTAACACGATGTCTAAAATTAATTTTTTCTAGTGACGGAATTTCAGAAAAATAAAATGGCGATCTAGTGATTCGAGGACCATAACTGCTTTTTATATCAATAAACTTTTGCAATTTCTATTTTGCCCATTATAAAATGAGAATATTACAAAAATGATATCTGTACATTACAAGTTTATACTTAAACCCGATGCATTAAGATCCAATATTGTTTAACCATATTTGATCACTTTTAAACGATTTTACTCAATTAATAGCCTGATACGCATACCAAGGTCCACAGTAAGCCCACATGTCATAAAAAAATATAACAATCTCTCACTTGAGTTTTATGAGACACCTTAACTGTGCGTTAAATAATTGTAGAAGTACTCAAAACTATGCTATCAATACCTAAATGCATCACCAAACAATCTCGTTCATCGATCATCATGACATAGGATCAAAGCAGCATTCGTTACAACTATCATAGCTAAACCCATCAATGGTCACGTATATCAGTATAATCAAATGACATAGATCAAGCATGGATGTGCAACATGAAAATTACATGTTATGTGATCTAAGCATGCTTATTTCCAATTAGTCATGTCTTAACCTTAGTGAGATCAAATATAAGAAAACTTAAAGATAATATATATAAACAAAAAATAAAACACAAAAACTGGAATGAAACCATATATACATAAGCCAAAACCAAAATATAAAATTTATGACATGTCCTACAAAATAAATGCAACTCTGATAAAACTCCCATTGAAACTACACATCATCTAGGGATATAATACTTATATGAGCAATGTACTCATGAAAGACCTTAAGTGATAATCCCTTAGTGAGCGAATTCGCAATCATGGAGTTTGTTCCAATGTACTCTATCGATATCTGCTTACTCTGAATTCTTTCTTTAACAATGAGGAACTAAATATCTATATGTGATGTGAGCATGGACATGGGCCAAGTTGGTGGAAAGGATATTTCAATGCCAAGTGGGACCATTATAAGGGGGAGAGCTAAAAGATTATTACAAATCTTCTAACTTTTTATCCAAGCGTGGATCAATGAGGAAAATAAGATTGGACCCATTAAAGAAGCCCAAGAAAATATGACAACATGGCCATTAACCCAATGGTATAATAATATATTATATTCATCTCAAGTGTAAGAGAAAAATAAACAAGAAAAAGAAAAAATTCTACAAGACATGAAAAGGAAAAATTCTCACGGAATTTTATTTCCTAATCATATGGAAAATCTTCACAATTAAAGATCAGCCAAGAGAAAAAATTGCTCTTAAATTGTAAGCTATCTTGAGAAAGAGGAAAACTCCTTAAATGCCAAATCTCACAGAAAATGAAAATAATTGAGAAACTTTGGCAGAATCTCTTTCCCTAAATCAGCCATAATTAATTAAGATATTCCTTATTTAAAAGTTTTCTTCATAAGAAAATCATATTTATGTTATTTTAGTTGTAACTTTCTTAATTTTTGTTATTTTTCCATTCTAGTCTAAATTTAATTTCTTATGTAATTTATACCATTAATTAGGAGATTATTTTTCCCTTATTATTCACATGACCTACATTATAAATAAGCATTCAATTTAGAGTTGTAATTTAATTCAGGATATTTAGCTTATTAATAAAATTCAGATATTCTTGTTTTAACCTTTCAAGCTTGCAAGAGTGAGTGAGTGGGTTTTCGACCGACTTATTGTACTAATAATTGGGATCACTTATTGAGGTAAGTTTCATGGTGTCTTTTCAATTCTAGTCATTTATTTCTTTCCCAATTACCTTAATTTTTACTCCCCTGTTGAGTGTGGTCAAGTAGGGAGGGTTTGCTTAGAGTTTTAAGTTTCTGATTGCTGATGTATATGCAGAGTTTTGGACTCCATTGTTGATCCTGGGTTCCACATCAGTTGGTATCAGAGCATAGGCTTCAGCAAATCTACTATCTTTATTATTTACTATTTACATTTATTTCTTACATAAAATTAACATTCGTTACATAAAGTGCTACTTCATTTAGTTTGTTTCCAAGAATTTTTTTCCAGTGTTATTATAATTAAAAAAAAGAGAGATTCTGAAAAAAAAAAGAATCTATGAAAAAAAGTGAGAAGTGTGTAATTCCTTGGTTTTTTTTTTCAAAAAGTACGTTCAATATTTTGCATTAGCATCTGTATCATAGAAACTTAAGTGAGTCATAGAGCACAGCCGTCATTAGGATAAAATAATTAGGTATAACATTTCGGTTATA